CGTGAGGGAACTTCCACTGACCCTCCTCCCTCAGCACTGAGTCCAGGTTCTGGATGACCATGGTACCCTGAAGGGAAATCAAAGGGACAGATAAAATCATGAAGATGGCATGATTTCTTTGTACATTCACTGGCCACTTTATGAAGTCCACCTGCTCATTAACGCAAATGTCGAATCAGCCAATCACATAGCAGCAACTCAATGCATTTAGACATGTAGACATGGCCAAGATGATCTGCTGCAGATTAAAACAAGCATCAGAATGAGGAAGAAAGGTGATTTAAGCGACTTTAAATGTGGCATGGTTGTTGGTGCCAGACAGGCTGGTCTGAGTATTTCAGAAACTGCTGATCTACTGGGACTTTCACCCACAACCGTCTCTAGGGTTTACAGAGAATGGTGTGAAAAAGAGAAAATATCCAGTGAGTGGCAGTTCTGTGGGCGTAAATGTCTTGCTGATGCCAAAGGTCAGAGGAGAATGGTCGGACTGGTTCGAGCTGATAGAACAGCAACAGTAACTCAAATAACCACTCGTTACAACTGAGGTCTGCAGAAGAGCGTCTCTGAACTCACAACACATCAAACATTGAGGAGGATGGGCTACAGCAGCAGAAGACCACACCAGGTGTCACTCATGTCAGCTAAGAACAGGAAACTGAGGCTACAATTTACACAGGCTCACCAAAACTGGAAAATAGAAGATTGGAAAAACATTGCCTGGTCTGATGAGTCTTCCTTTCTGCTGCAACATTCAGATGATAGGGTCAGAATTTGGCATCAACAACATGAAAACATGGATCATTCTGCCTTGTATCAACGGTTCAGGCTGGTGATGGTGCAATGCTGTGAAATATATTTTCTTGACACAATTTGGGCCCATTAGTACCAACTGAGCTTTGTGTCAACACCACAGCCTACACCACAGTCAGAATTGTTGCTGACCATGTCCATCCCTTTATGACCAATGTACCATCTTCTGACCATGTCCTTCCCTTTACGACCACAGTGTACCATCTTCTGACCATGTCCATCCCTTTATGACCACAGACAATGTCCATCCCTTTATGACCACAGTGTACCATCTTCTGACCATGTCCATCCCTTTATGACCACAGACCATGTCCATCCCTTTATGACCACAGTGTACCATCTTCTGACCATGTCCATCCCTGTATGACCACAGTGTACCATCTTCTGATGGCTACTTCCAGCAGGATAACGCTCCATGTCATAAAGTGTGAATCATCTCAGACTGGTTCCTTGAACACAACAATGAGTTCACTGTACTTGAATGGCCTCCACAGTCACCAGATCTCAATCCAGTAGACCTTTGGGATGTGGTGGAATGGGAGATTCTCATCATGGATGTGCAACTGATAAATCTGCAGCAACTGTGTAATGCTATCATGTAAATATGGACCAGACTCTCTGAGGAAATTTTCCAGTACTTTGTTGAATCTATGCCATGAAGGATTAAGGCAGTTCTGAAGGCAAAAAGGGTCCAACCTGGTACTAGCAAGATGTACCTAATAAAGTGGCCGGTGAGTGTATATATTGTCCAAACTCTTAAATTTCTCACCTTGGGAATGTCATATCCCATCAGCTCTGTGTCTTTAGTGGAGCAGTGGAAGACACTAAGAGGAACAGTGTTGGCAACCCTCTGGACTTCATGGATCACAGCCTGGGTTACAACAAAGATATTACAAAATGCCTGTCTTTGAATCAATTATTTTAGGCATCGTATAGAAAGAAATCTCAGAAAAGTTTCAGTTTAGCTGATAGAAACACATTCAGACATGCCTCTCAGATTAATCATTCAGATTAACAGAACAGGCGTGTGATGATGCTCATCACCTGCACGTAAGGCATGTTGTGTCTGTCCTCAAAACTGACCCGATCCCTCCCATCCAGAACCCGATCGATCTCCTGCTGACATCGATCTGAGGGGGCAGAAACTGTTTTACACATTTTAAGTTACTCTTACTTTGGTCTAAAATAGTAATTTCCAAACCAGTTCAGTCTTTGTTAACCTGCCAAATTAATATTTTAATACATTTTAGGTTTTGGTGCCACTCCAGGATTATTAGTGGCCCCCTTCTGGTCACCACATTAAAACCTTACTTTATACCCCCTGTGTTGATCTGAAAGATGAAACATTTCCTGAAGGTGTACCTTGAACCTGAGGATGGACTATAAGGTACAGAAACCCAGTCAAAAGGGTGTTGGAGGTGGTGTCAGTTCCAGCACTATAAAGATCAAAAGTGATCCTTCTGAGCTGTTCCTCCGAAAATGAAGAATCTTTTTTCTGGACAGAATACAGAGAATATTGTACAAAATGWAAAATTTGTGATAACGCTGRGTMAGCATCCAGAWGTTTTCCTGGTTTTAGTTTTTCTGTACCTGTCTCACATTCATCAGCATCATGATGTTGAAAATTTATCTTTTGTTCACACACCTGTTTGTCCAGTTCATCCAGGTAGCAGTCCACAAAGTCTTGAGGTTCTCCAGGGGTCCTGGTCCTCTTGTGCTCGTTCATCAAACCATTTGAAAAGTCGAGGTACAGCTAAATCACACAGCTTTAATTAATAACATACAGACATGATGTTGTTAGTCTATTGTGCCTAAGCTGTATAAAAATTACCTCCATGTTCTTAAAAATCTTTTTGAAGGGCAGCGGCAGGTAAGAAACATATGGAACTGCGTCGTACAGCTGAAAGATRAGTTATTACAGAATAAATCAAACTGTGGTTTGTTTGTGTGCATGACCTGCTCTTCTTAGACCTGAATAAGAAGAGTCAAAACTAAAAGAGTYCCTGGAGAAACTTTAATGAGGCCTGCCTCATGGTGCAACATAATGTTTGGGATTTTTTTTGGCTACCAAATTTCAGATCATACTTAAACATATGAAGACAGCTGAGATTAATGGGACAGTAAACAGGTGGGATTGGGCCTGCTTTATGAGAAGATTGGAAACAGCTGAGATTAATGGGACAGGAAACAGGTGTGAGGGGGCATGGTTGATTAAAGACCAAAAACAATTGAGCCTAATGTAATAAACAGGTGTGATTGAGCCTGTTGACAATAACAGTTTCAGGCCCACTTAGACTCACCATGGCCCATGGTCCATTGGCTATTTTAGTCATYTCTGTGAACCATCGAACAACCTTTTTGATGGTTTCATCTTCGTACTCATAACGGGTTCCAAACAGAACYTTACAGATGATGTTGGARGCTGCRTTATGGAACATCATTTGAGGACTCAGAGTTTTACCTGTACACAGATTTAAAAACAGAAYATCACACCAACAGCACAACCAAAAGCTTTAAGTATTTTCAGATGGATTAAGCACCAACGCTCTTTTCCAGTGTTTTAAYGGTGAACTGAATCTCTTGATGAATTCTCTCCTCCATGGATTTCTTTCCCAGACCAAAATTTCTCAGAGTCATCAATGCAAAACGACGATGTTCCCTCCAAACAGGCCCATAATCGACAAAAATAACTCCTGCAACAAGCAAAGTCACAAAACAAAGATCTTTTACCTGCTGCAGCTAATTAACTTAATTACAATTTTTTCGCAAGTGTTTCTTAATAAGTCTTCATACGTTTACAGCCTTTTCTTGCTTCTGGTACAACTTTGTCGAGATGTATTCCCAACGAGCACACGTATGGGGGCCCCATATGGGATAAATAAGGGCAAGTAACAGGAGTAATATCCAGATTAGTTTGCAGGTTCTATGGTAGCCCTACATGTCTTTGCYCACCTTGACTTTAACGGGTCCTGACTGGGTTTTTATATCATCATTCACCGACGGCTACAAGCTGTGTTGGATAAAGAGCTCAGGGAGGAGCAAGCTGGCTTCAGATATGGCCGATTGTACGTAGAGCAGATCTTTGTCCTACAGACCATCATTGAGCAGAGCCTGGAATACCAGCAACGGCTATCAGTCAGCTTCATAGACTTCACCAAAGCTTTTGAMAGTGTCCATAGGGAGTCGCTTTGGAWACTTGCGAGGTCGTATGGAATTCCYGAACAGTTTGTCCAAATTTTCCGAAACTTCTACCTCAACTCAAGCTGCAGCGTATGAACAGAAGAAGGAACAACCGAATTCTTCGCCATCGAGACCGGCGTGCAGCAGGGGTGTATACTTTCCTCCTTCCTATTCCTCCTGGTCATTGACTATATTCTGTGCAGGACCATGGATCGAGCAGATTTTGGAATAACGTGGCCCGAATCGGTCCAACTTACGGATCTCGACTTTGCAGATGACATTGCAATTCTTGGGGCAACAAACAAGAGCATCATTGACATGACCCAGAGCCTTGATGGAGGATCAAACAAAGTCTGACTCCGGATTAACATCAATATTAACTCAGGAAGCATGGCATCTATTTTCATTGCTATGCTGATGGTCGTGGACACCCAAATTGGTTAGAGCTGCTGAAAAGCAGCTCCTGCCTTCCCAGTCCGGCATGCCATGTCGTGTTTTTCATCACCATCGTTGGTTATAATGCTGCCCAGATAAGTGAGCCTTTGCACTCCTTCAATCTGGTATGGTCCGATAGTGGCAGGGGTGCCAGCCATGGCATAACTAGTTTGCATGATCTTGGTCTTCTTGATAGTTTTATACTATATTACTTTATTTATAAAGCAGTTTAAAACAGCCACTGCTGCAACAAAGTGCTGTACATATT